ACCTGGACACATTTCATGTAGATACACGTCGTAGTACGTACCTTCTGTAATATGTTGCACATTCAGTTATACTGATGCTGTCAACTCACAGACATACCTTGACAACAAATACTTTTATAACACATCTGTTTTTTAGGTAAAACAGACTTGTACGTTTTAATACAAACTTGACACATTTCATGTAGATACACGTCGTAGTACGTACCTTCTGTAATATGTTGCACATTCAGTTATACTGATGCTGTCAATTCACAGACATACCTTGACACATTTCAGGTAGATACACGTCGTAGTACGTACCTTCTGTAATATGTTGCACATTCAGTACCTACAGTAATATATGTCACTTTAATGTTTAATGAATATACGAAAAACACATAATCATCAAATACAATTCATCCTACTGTGAGAAACCTGGTCTTGTATTTTTTGGTCTTTTCCTTTTGGTTACCAATAGATAACGGGATTCCTTAAAACTACCATAGTATACAGTGTTTTTTTGGACTTGGCTTTCTTTCATAATTGGTTAGTCTATTGTACTTTAATGATTAATACTTATAAAGTTTTTATTTTAAACTTATATTTTGAGGCAGTTATATTTGTAAAATAAAATAAAATATATTAAAAATAGTTTTTGATATTTCAAAGATGGTAAAATTAAAGTTAAAATTCCTATTTCATTTATTTTGGGAACTACAGGGTTTTAAATGTATCTCTTAAGGTGAATTTCATTGGATCTCTAACAACTAAAAAGTTAAACACCTTTTAAAAGTACTGTTTTTTGATTTTCAGATAATTGATCCATCCATGTGTGCAATTTAACACACCTGTTGGAAAGAAATATACTTCTTAAACAGGCCTAATTTATAGATCTTAGGCATAACTAATACTATTTTTTTCTTTTTAAGGAAAGGTGTGCAAGGGACTAAATTATTCATATCATCATTCAAATTCTTTTGATACCAAGAGACAGAAGCAATTCGGAAAGGTAAAATTTTTCTAAAAAAACAGATTCAATGGTTAATTGTATGATCCATTTTGCTTTTATAGTGTGTAATGTTTCATCCTTTACGTAATTATTTTGACATGTAACTATTTTTTTTTCATCATTTTATTCATTGTAACAAAATAATCTTAGGTACCTTTATAGTGAGGTTTATTCCTCACAATCTTGATCTGCTTAAATGATCCCAATCAAATACATATTCAATGAATGAAAAGTGTTATATTCACACTTCCAAATTATATAGAAATCCAGATTCACTTTTGAATATTTTAAACGGTTTAATTTAAAAAATGCCATGTCAACATCGGCACATTTTGGAATTCTTTTTTTTATTATTATCATTACAAAATGTATTGGCATTTAGTTGAAAATTTTCATTTAGAAAAAAAAAACAAACAGAAAAGTAAATTCTGTGATATTGTTAAGATTGAAACTTTATTCAGTTCAACTTGTTTCAAAACCTTACAAAATCTTAACATGCTTGTGAACAATCAAAGTATATTCAGTAATTCTCATACTTTGGCAGTTAAAGTACTAGACATCATCATATTTAATGATCGATAATTAGCATTGTACTAACAGATTAAGCCATGTACGATCTTGATAATTTGCATAGTATCACAGATTTTATTTTGCTATTTAACTTCAGGTGCAAATAAGTAATTCTAGTTGTTTATGGGTAAATATCTTGTAAGCATTTCAAAATTTCGTGTAGTACCAGGTTTTATGTTGCTTGATGTTGTTATACATCCATAACTTTTTACAATAAGCAAAAATAATGTATTTGCTTATAATATTTTTGTAACAAATAATTTTCACTCTTTTGTGTCCCTTCTGACAGGTGTCACCGTAACTCCCTGTTTTATGTTGTCCAAGTTTTCCCAAATGTGTCAGCTGACAGTTGTAGTGATTTTATCTGTGATCCACATTCCTACAGTTATTGTATCAACTATGTTCAAGTCAGTTATTGTATCAACCACGTTCAAGTCTTTGTAAGTTTCACCACAAACCAGACTTGTGTTATTCATGTATATTGTGCAGGTTTGTGTTAGTCATATGTAAGTTATCATATTGAAGTCTTTGTGTTTGTCATTCTATGTAGAAGACATTAATTTGCACGAACTTTAAAAATTCTAACCTGCATGTTTTAACCTTACTGACTCTCCAGGATAATCCCTGCTGCTACAGAGCTCCTTGTTTCAATTTATGGGATCTGTTCTGCTGCTACAGAAATCCGTGATTTAGTTGTGAGGAATGTTCTGCTGCTACAAAACTCTGTGATTTAGTTGTGGTGAATGTTCTGCTGCTACAGAAATCCGTGATTTAGTTGTGGGGAATGTTCTGCTGCTACAGAACTCTGTGATTTAGTTGTGGGGAATGTTCTGCTGCTACAGAACCTCGTGATTTAGTTGTGGGGAATGTTCTGCTGCTACAAAAATCCATGATTTCGTTGTGGTGAATGTTCTGCTGCTACAGAAATCCGTGATTTCGTTGTGGTGAATGTTCTGCTGCTACAGAAATCCGTGATTTCGTTGTGGTGAATGTTCTGCTGCTACAGAAGCGGACAAGACAATGACAATTTACAGAATCCAGATTAGCTCTATATTTTTGAACTCAACTTTTCATGAGGTTCTGTAAGCCTTAGTATGGAATCTTCATGAACATTCTTCTGTGGTTAGTAATCACACACCACAGATGGAGCTTAAAACCACCCTTATTTTCTTTATAATGATAATTACAATCCAAGTATTCAAGCCTCATTATCAGACCCTTCTTTCTAACTTTTTGTGTAGTGTATTGCTACTTTTTCAAACATCATGGTATCTTCAGTGTAACAAAAGCTTGGAGTGTGCCTTCATTGCTAATTGTTACGTTTCACCAAATTACAAGTTGTGTATAAGCAATTGTAATGTTAATATATTTCTTAATGGTTACTAATTGTCAAGTTTCACCCATATTAACCAGTTGTCTGCATGCATCGTCATAGTTCATATTAAACTTCTTGTATATTGATTATTTTATTTTAGAATGTGTATAAGTTTTGTCTTATAATCAACCCTTGTATGTACTGCATAACTTCTCTTCATTCACCATCAATTTAACTTAGTCACCATGTGATCTTAGGATTTCAGTTTTCCAAGTTTTATTCACTCAGTATTCATAAACTTATGTGATTTCAATTTTCCCAATTAAAACTTTTTTTATCAAAATGGACTGATCAACCACTATTACTTGCATGCAATTAGAATGTTTCAATACTCCATCTCCACTGTACACTCTAATGTCAACCCCAGTAAGTCTGTCTGTCTTTGTCACAGAAATTTTAAGGAGTCACTTTCCAACTTTAAACTCTGACTGGACAAGTGGAATATGGTGATTATGTCTTTAACAAGATAAATATTAGTGAGTTAATAGTTTGGGTTGTCAAAGATTGTAACAAGCAAAATTCTTGAACTGTTGACATAAACCTTTAGATTTTGTTTATTTCTTTTTTGTACTATGTGCCATGAATACTTGTAATTAAGACTACTAGTGAGTGATACCACACTGTCCAATGTTTGATAATAAGATAGCGTATCTCTTTGTAATGATAATCCTATTTACAGAAGGTGCTTTTACTTATCAAAAAATCTTACTGCTGGAACTTCCTATCACTTTTACTTATTATTTTTGTTTACTTTTAAGCTATTAATCATGACATTGTGTCTGTAGCTTTATCAAGAGCCATGACTGTAAATAAACAGAAAGTCACTTGATGTTTTCACCCTTGAACTGATGTTAACCTTTTAGCAAACTGCATGCAAGACGACTAGAACAATTCCCTCCCTTCAGATATTTAGGCTAAACTTCCTAATGAATACCTGTTAATGAGCAATTGTAGTTCCAGAAGTTGCTTTGGTTAAGTTTGTGAAAGTTTAATCTTTGTTACCCAGTTTCTCCTATAAAGCCTGAAGTGTACCTATTTTGTAATGTTTAATACAATATATTGGATATCCTAAAAAAACAGCATGATTATGAAATTAAAAAAAGAAGGTTATGAGGGGTGTAAGTTAAATATATTTAAAAAATATTTGTTGCCTGATATCTGTAAACTTGTAATGTTACCAAAAACCATAATACTTGATAATCATAAGAAATGTATAATATTAAAGTTGAGATTATGGAGCATAAAAAACTAAATGTCAATAAATCATTACACTCTCTAAATCATAAAAAGTAATATTAATAAATTATTATGCTCCATAAAGAATAAAAAACTAATGTCAATAAACCATTACTCTCTCTAAAGAATAAAAAAGTGATGTTAATAAATTATTATGCTCTCTAAAGAATAAAAACCTAAATGTTAACAAATCATTACTTTTTAAATCATAAAAAACTAAATGTTAATAAATCATTAAACTCTTTAAAGAATAAAAATCTAATGTTAATAAACCATTACACTCTAAATTATAAAAAAGTAACATTAATAAATCATTACTCTCTCTAAAGAATAAAAAAGTGATGTTAATAAATCATTACTCTCTCTAAAGAATAAAAAGTAATGTTAATAAATCATTACACTCTCCAAATTACAAAAAAATCATGTTAATAAATCATTACTCTCTCTAAACATTAAAGATTACTTTGTCACATACTTTCAGCTAGTAAAATAACGTAATGTTTTGTAAATTACCCATTTTGGGTGCTAACTTTAACTTTATTCAAATAGTGGAATTAGTGATATGCTTAATACTGGAAGTTAACCAATAGTAAAAATGTTGTATGAATTATTTGTTTAATAGTTCACTATTACATCATATAAATATCTTGATTTTTATATAGCATCTCAAAATGAAATGATTTTTGCTTAGATTTGTTTTATTTAAAAGAAATTAAATATATTTTCATCTTCTTTAAAAGAGTTAGATTATTTACATAAAAAAGCTTTGTTAACCTATTGAAATTCTGTTATTGTTTTTTCTTTTAAATAAAATACTCGTTTCTCTAGTCACGATGTTTTAGAAATTCCCAGTAAGTCATTATCATAGCCACATAAAAAAGAAGTTATAAGAAGAATGCTGTCTTCTAGTTAAAGCAGTTATGTATTTTGCTTTTTCAATTACACATCAGAATATATGTTAAATACATATACCTATTGACAGTTAAAACTTTAACTGAGCATGTGGATTAATCATTTATTGGTAGATTATTGTAATATGTAGTGATAGTTAACTGAGAAAGTACTCTATAAGGACCTGTATATTTTCAGTGGTAAAGAAATTTTCATTAAAACCAGTTTTATTTAATTATGACAAAAAATTAATATATATATAAATTTCATCTAAGCTAACCTTTGCTATTTTGTGTTCGTAGTTAGTTCTATTTATTTACTTTGCTCTTATTCTTGAATCTCAGTTTTAATCTTATTCTTTTAATTTTCATTTCATCTTGGAATTCTCACTTTCAAAGTGAATTTGTTTGTGTACTTACCATATTTGATCATTTTTCTATTTGTTACTTGTTGTTGACTAAATATTTTCCTGCAAATAACACTATACAATTAGACATATTTTCATCACTGAATGTGTATTTTATGAATGAGAAAAATCTGAGAACAAATTTTTATTGGGGGTCGTATACTTAATTCTTTCCTTTATAATTTCAAATTGTGTGTCATTTAATCATAATTTGTTTTCCAAAATGTAAGTTTTTGCATTGTATTGCATCTAATCTGACAATGTACGAAACTCAGTGGTAGCTTATCACTTGACACTAATAGTGTTATTGAAATACTTGATATTGCTGGAAAATCACATATAATCCTCTTATTAATGAGAAGTTAAAAATTACTAGTATTACTGCATTGTTTATTGCTAAACTAGTGGCTCAAGGTAAAAAATATTATATGCTATATTTATAGTTTTTGTTGTTACCTGCAGATTGACTATTCCATTTCAGATGAGATAGATTTTTTTTTTAAAAAAAAGGTATTATATTATAGACAGTGTGTTCATAACATTACACTGACACACTCTAACATTTCATGAAAGGCCTTTTTTTGTGTATTATGCTTTCATGTGGTGCTGTTGAGACTTTGTTAAGAAACTATAATCATGAAAAAGGTCATCTTAATAATGATAAAAATTCATAAATAGTATTCGTTCTGATTATATTTGTTCTGCCTCTTCAAAGTGATAGCACATATACAATTTGGCACATTTGCTATATAGTATGGAAAAATACATGTAATTACTCAAAACTAAAGTGACCAGGTATATTTAATCTAAAATTGGGGACATTATATTGAAACAGAGGTAACAGTTTAAGCTTGGATTTAAATATTTCCCTGATGTCAAGAGACATCAGAAACTCAACTTTATACTCTGAAAATCACTTCACTGTGTTGTGAAACCAATATAAAATAAACTTAGTCAGTAAATGATGAAATTACTTTAATTTAGTTTCAGTGAGAATAAAATTATTACATGTATGTAATAAAGTGTACACTCTGTCACAAAAACAAGCTTTGTACTTAAATTTTGTCTATTTAGGGACTTTTTGTTTGAAAGACACTGCTTTAAAATTGGTATCATTTGATCACTTTATCCAAAACGATACAACTGATACGTTTGTTCCTAGTGAGAGCAGTATCATTTTAAAATATTTAAACCAGTGACTCTTGATAATGTTTATCATTGTGTCTGCTTTGTTTTTTTGACAAAAGAACTTCTTTAGAAAGTATTCTACTCATTGATAAATATTGTAGATAAAATTATATTTTCATTATAATGGAAGCCAATATTAAAAACAACTTGAAAATGCTTATTTGATAAATTATGGTGTAAAGAATTCAAATAAGAAAAATGTTTAAAATAACTAAAACCTAAAAAAAAAGGGCTCTAGCCAAATGTAAGTACTTTTTAACTGAAGTTAAAAATAATTTGTATGTCAAAAAAAGTAACTATAACTGCACAGTTAGTAATCTTTTTTTAAACTACAATTGAAAAAAACGTGGTTAATCAGTTTCTATTTAAATTTTGTTGTCACAGTTTATAATTTTTTTGAATTATTCAATTGTACCACCAGCTCTTGAGTTATTGTAAAATTTTAATTAATTTTTTTGTGGTTCAGTAGCTTTAATGTAGTAATAAAAATATTTTTTTATGAATAGAACTTAATCTTTCTTATTGCAAGTTCAAACATTTTGGTTAATGGCACATCTAAGGGTATACACCAAGTTACTAAATTTTAAAAATAAAAGTTTTAATTTAAAATAGTTCTAGGAATTATAGTCCATGTATATATCTATATATTATTATTTAAATTGTCATATAATGTAAAATAAGTAATTAAAAGGTTGTTAAACTACATATATTTTGTAAGTTACCATTGATATGAAAAAGGGGTATAACTAGTGTTTTTTTTTAAAACATTGACAACACAAATATTACACTATATTTCAGTAACATAAAATACATTTGACTATGAAACCACTTTGGATTCATTTGCTAGATTTTCCACAGATAATTTAATTGTGAAGAATAGTGTTACCATCTGTAGATGGGCTTTGCTATATATTATTAATGGTTCATTAAACAATATTGGTACTTTATTGTGTTGCATGACTCTTTGGGTGTAGAATGTCTAAGATGGTGGGACACGACCTTATAAGACTAATAATTACTTAAATCAGAAGTCAACAGCATATTAATTCTGTATTAGGCCAGTAAAATAATCAAGTCTCACAGTGATGTAACATCAGATTAGAAATGTTATACTTGTGAGAGAGACATAAAAGTATAATGAGAAATATACAAAGAATGGAAGTTACAAAATGTAGGATGTCACTTTAGAAAACAAAGTGTATAATGTACTTTCAATTAATTACTCTTGTAAAAAGTACACATAATTTACATAAATTATGTATATTTAATCTCAAAATTTATATGGAAGAACAAAAATACATATTTTTTCCTCTTTTTTTTCATTCAGCATGCAGGCTATTTAGTAATACCTTGAAAAAAAAAAGGAATTGGTGTAATGACTTACAACACTAGAAATAAGAGATTTATACCCATGATACCACTGATGCTAAAGGTATGATAATTTGTGTACAGCACTTCGTGACATTTAGAACAAATAGGAAAGTGCATTTTCTGTCTTTCATGTTGACAACTTGAGGCCATATATTTGTATACTGGTCCTATTAATCAAGCTGTACACTTCATCATTTCTAATGCAGTGTGGCCACAGCAGTAATTGCCTATATACATGCATAGATATTTGCACATATAACTCGTTTCCACTGCTGTTCCCTAACTTAATTTTACATTTTCATAGGGTTTAATTGCATGTTGATAAAATGTCAACATTGCGATAATTGATGGCCTAAAACGAAACTTATTCGAGAGCATCTTCTTTACTGAACTAGAATAAAACTTTCTACTTACAGGTTACATGGTGATTTGCTCCAGGCACATTCTAAAATCCAAATAAAAATAAATATAATTGAGCATGATAATTTAAAAAATGAATACAATTTAAGATTACCTTGGAAAACTAGGATCATTGGTGCCTTTATGTTTTGGGACAAATCCCTTTATGATAGAAGCAAGGCCATTTTTTTTATAGGCAAATGAAATAATACCAAAGAATAATTAGTTTGGCTGTTGGGAACTACAGTAATACCATACAACATTCAGCTTGGCTGTCTAAGAATACAATAACAGTATCAAACATTAGCCAGTTTGGCTGTCTGGGACTACAATAATAATACCAAACAATAGCCAGCTTGACTGTCTGGGACTACAATAATAATGATAATACCAAACAATAGCCAGCTTGGCTGTCTGGAACTACAGTAATAATATCAAACAATAGCCAACTTGGCTGTCTGGAATTACAATAATAATACCAAACAATAGCCAGCTTGGCTGTCTGGAACTACAGTAATAATATCAAACAATAGCCAACTTGGCTGTCTGGAATTACAATAATAATACCAAACAATAGCCAGTGTAGTCCCAGACAGCCAAGCTGTAGTCTCAGACAGCCAAGCTGGCTATTGTTTGGTATTATTATCCCAGACAGCCAAGCTGGCTATTCTTTAGTATTATTAAGACAGCGAAGCTGGCTGTTCTGTAGCATTATTACTGTAGGGGACTACAGTAATAATACTAAAGAATAGCCAGCTTGGCTGTCTGGGACTACAGTAATAATACTACAGAACAGCCAGCTTCGCTGTCTTGGACTACAGTAATAATACTAAAGTGAGTCAGGGACTGGTAACACTGTCCAACAAGATTAATTCTCTACCAATGAGCTATCCAAGAGTGCAAGCTGTCCATGTCGGTGTTCATTTATAAAGCCTCTTGCCACAAGTATGAACACCATACTATATTTTTGGTACAAAGACCAAATCACAGACTTACAATTACAGAAGTCCATTAAGAACCAGTGAAATAGTAATATTATTATACTGTAATAATTAATACTGAATATTTTGTGTGAAAAATCAGTAAGTGAAAAGTGACTTCAGGATCCTTGACAAACAAGGTTAGTGCTTTAACACTGAGCTATCCAAGAATACGTATCAAATTAAAAAAACAATTTTATCTTGAAAAAAACTGCAAAGTTTTACAGGTTTGTGAAAAACGTAGGAAAAACTAAATAGCCATGAAAAACCTTAGAAATAAACAGATGTTTAAAAGCATATCCAGGGAGTTCTCACCAACTTGAGCTCCTCCCCTCTTGTCTCAAGATGAATGTCAAAGTTCCCAACCATTTTTTTTCGGTTAAGCATATTTGTGCTCGTTTTCAAGCTGTTCCGGTATATACGTAACGATACCTTTATGGGCAAAGCCATAGTAGTGATAAATGACGTATTTGTGAAATGTACAATGGTCTTTATTTTCCTCGATTCTGTAAGAATATGTCAACCACACGACCAGTGCCAAAAAGGCCTTTTCACCCAATACCAGGGCTCATCATAGTTGTGGTATAGGCACTATTTATATCGGAAATTTCACAAGAAACAACTATTATAGTACGAAATAGATTAATTAAGTGATATGTAATGGTTAAGAAAACATATGAAATGTATGCACACACACACACACAACAAAAAAAAACTCAAAAATATTTATTTATCAACACTGATATGAAAGAAACTGTTCATTTCTTTCTACATAATATAAATACTCACAAAAATGAGCAGTTACTGAAACTTTAGATGTTTTAATCTGATACGAAAATGTTGTTTTAAAATTACAATTCAACTCAGCATGTTACTATAAACTTGCCTTTTAACAATTGTGTCCAACACTAGACAAGTTAAAAGATCAGTCATTATATATTGACAGAGAATTATAATGTACACAGGTGTTACAATTTTTGGTCTGTGTGGAGTTATAAACCTTGTTCGCAAGTTGTTTGAAGCTTTAAAATCAATAGAAATATTACATTTACTAGTCAATGTAAAAGATTCAGTTACTTGCAATGCTATCTAGTAATTAAAAACAGGTAATTTTCAAAATACCTGAATGCCAAATTTTGATTTTATTTATATGTGTTTACATAAATAAATAAAGATCTGCTTTTGTGGTCCATACTCAAATGTTTAAAACACAAAATTTAAATATATATATAAACATTTTCATTTTTGTATCTTTCTTTTTCAATAACATTTTTTTTAAATACACAGTAACACAGGATAAACTGACCCTAATAGGGTAACAATCTGAAGTCAAATCAATACCTTTACTATCAACTCTCCAAAAAATTCATACCTTGCAAGTCAATTAAGGAATTAACTTTAAATCCATTTGTGTTTCTGTTTCCAGCTTAGGCTGAATACAATCATAATAGTTTAATCAAAGTTTAGAAAGAGACAGGCCTTTATAAGTTCTCCAAGTAATTAGTTTTTAGATGATAAATACAATGGTTATTTTTTTTGGTCTATAAAAATATGAAATACTTTAAAAAGTAATACAAATACAAACTAATACTTCAAAAACCACCTAAACTAGTATGTCCAAGTTAAAAATAATTAACAGATGAGACAGTAATATGAAGAAAACAAAACAATTTATAATTCTTTTTGCAATGTCTGCTAAAGAAAAAAATCTTGATATAAGATATTCTCTCATTATCTTGTTTTTCTTTTACGATGTATTGTTATATTAATTTCAATAAAATCAATTCTACCATTTTGCTATTAAAAAAATAATATGGTTGACCACTGTCTTTGAAATGATAAGAACTTATGAAACTGAAAAGAATATATAATATACCACCAAGTTATAATAATTTCTAATATTATGGGATTCAAACAGAACATGCATGGATGTTTATAATATTATAATTATTTCAACATTGAAAACAGTGTACAAAATTAACCATTCAGACAGTGATTCTAGTTGGTCAAGCTATTAAATACACCTAACAATGTTAAATAAATAGCAATACTTCTTTCAGATTTAATGATGGAAGCATACTGCTAGGTAGATTTAAGAATTTGAAATCCATTTGAAATTTATAATAAGTTAATAATTAAAATAAGGTCATTTTGGCAATTAATGTGTTTCAACCTTTTTAAAACAGACTTATCAGTTTTTAATAAATTTCAAACTTTGAAAATTAAGACACATTTCCGTATTAAAGAAGAAAAAAAATTTGTATATGTAAATATATACACAGACGCACTTTGTCTTTTTTTGTGTATCAAGCTAAATCTTTTTGTAATTTATAAATGAACTGCAAATAAAACCATATTACAACTTCAGCAGTTTTTTTTTTTTAACTTTGAAAGCAATCTTTGTACTGTGGCATTAAATGTATTGCTAAATGATGTAACAGTATTACTTAAATGTACTTATAACTGTTTTAAAAAAGTGTAAACAGTATAAAAAAAAAGATTTTTAATGAATCTGGCGTAAAATAATGACAAAAATATTGGTTATATATTTCAAGTACCAACTGTACATACACCAACTAAAAATTAACACAAACTGTCATAAAACAATGAAAGCAATATTAAAAAAAAACGTTTAAGCTCTGTCATAAAAAAACTACGTAACTTCCATTACTGATTTACTTATGTGGTCTTTGAGACGAGCAGATCAACGACGTTCACGGAATAATTCCAATTTCAATCAAATTCATTATCAACAGTAATATACAAATTTTAGACACTTTAAGTCAGAATTTGGTCTTCAAACATCTTAATTTATGTACATATAATGTCAAAACAGCCCAAAAACCCTTTGACAAAGAGAATGCTGCTGTTAGGTTCTAATGTTACTTTTATTTATCTGGCCTTCAACTTCTCGTACACAGTTTGTTCTTCCTGAAAAACTCCAAATATAATTTATTTAAGAATTCTCGTGCAAACTCTAATGTTGTGAGCTTTATTATCATAATATGACCTGCATGAAATAATAACTTATGAACAAATATAAAGTGATGAAATTCAAAAAATGAATTACTAACATTTTTTTTTTTTCTTATAAAGTCCATGCTTCATTTCAACATATTTCTTACAAATCTTTAGCCATTTTTCAAATTTCCTTTGTGCAGGAACATCTTGAGTTTTCTCAAAACTTCACTGGTATAACTTGTACTGCACACCAGCATTTTCTAAAGTCTTTTAAAGAGAGAAATGCAAGTTTGATTATTTCAGTTTTTAGAGATTTTAAAATCATGGCAAGACAAAGTAACAAATCATCCTTTAACCAGGCTCTTATCTCAGTTAAAAGTACTGGCTCTTACTTTATTGCTTTAGACTTACCTACTATAGGTTGCATTGCATTTTACGAGTTGCTTAAAATTGGAATGCAGAATGATAATGATATTTACCAACTGCACATAACATTGATAATGTCAATAGCATCTCAACCATTACTGTGTCTGTCATATCCCTGCCTGCCTAAAAAGTCTTGTACTGAGCGAACGGTCTTGTCCGGCACTGGATATAGAAGATATAGTGTGGTTGATGTATTGTTACACCTTGTGTGGTTGATGTATTGTTACACATTGTGTGGTTGATGTATTGTTACACATTCTTCTTTACTGAAGCTTAAAAGTTCTTAGAATTTATTAAATACAAGCTACACTAAATGCATATTGGTTCTGTACAATAACAGTCAATGGTTTCTATACAGTATAATATATTAATATGCTTAAAAATACAATATTTTTAACTGGAATATTATTATGAACACCATCTTACCACACAAAAGTATATATCATAAATAGGTGTCGTGTGTAGAGACATCAGAGTAGTACACATACACAGCCATTGCTACTCAAATTCCTGTCTTTCTACATGTCTCGTGTGATGATAATATTTTTACACAATCTTTTGTTAAATTGGTGATACTTTTTTAAAGACTTGTCATGTGTAAAGAGACAGGAGACAATCCTATAAATACTGTGCAACAATGTGAGTTTCTTTTACCACAAGAGGACATAGACTTCTCCTAACCCATAAATATAAATCATATTTACATTAAGTTAACTAACAGACACTTAACATCACAGTAACTGAATACTGTAAGTATTCTCTTTTATTTATTTTCTTTTACTTTATTACTGAGCATTGTCTTTAAAATTATAAGAACTTAGAAAAGTAAAGAAGAATGCAACAAAACGTCAACAAGTTATAATGATTTCTAACACTACATTGCTTCTATTTATTTAATGAAATCTTCCCATTATTACTTTCCACCTGAAATCCCAGGATTTGATAAGTTCTAATTCTGTTTGGCAGCGTACTTATCCTGCTGCACAAAGCTGGTTTTGTAATGCATGGTTTATGTTCATACACTCAATGATGTACTTCTTTACTACTAGTTTGGTTTTGGTTTTAAAATTTGCACAAATCAATAAAAAGGACTAATTGCACACAATCAACCTTAATATTGAATGAACAGACTAGAGTGCAGGCAGCTAGTCAACAACATCTGTGTGTCAACCTTAATATTGAATGAACAAGACTAGAGTGAAGGCAGCTAGTCCACAACATCTGTGTGTCAACCTTAATACTGAATGAACAGACTAGAGTGAAGGCAGCTGGTCCACAACATCTGTGTGGGTTGACTAGCTGCCTTCACTCTAGTCTGTTCATTCAATATTAAGGTTGACACACAGATGTTGTTGACTAGCTGCCTTCACTCTAGTCTGTTCATTCAATATTAAGGTTGAAACATCCACTGTTAACTTTTGGGTTACTCTAATGAAAGAGTGGGATTTAACCATCACTCTTATAATGCAACCATAGCCCAAAAGTGTGGAAGCATATTTTTTGTGGCAAAAACTGTAAACTGTGGATGCTCATATTCACAGTTCAGCATGCTAACCACCAGAACACAACTGGCCTGCTTTAGAATGAACATCCAACCCAAAATAAAAAACTGATTTCCACACTCTTAATGGAATAATTTTCTATAAGTACTGAGTATTTAAAGAATTCTTTGTGGTTTAACACATGTTCAAGTTTCTAGATATCTTAAAGACATAAAATGTTGGTGTTAGAATATACCTGAGTTATACAAAATGTGAATGTAAAAGTATTTCCCCAAGGTGGAAAATGCCAAAGGACTTTACCATAAGTTTGCTATAAAAAAAAAAAAATCTAAGAGCACATATAATACAGCCAGTTTTTAATCCTTTAGTTACTCTTTGTTATAGCTAATAAGTCACATCTAGGACTTCATACTTACTCCTTCATAGTGGAGTTTGACTATACATGGCCTCGTTGTTGTTTCACACAGATAAAGGTGACTTTCAAGATCAGGTAATGTTGAAACGGAATCATTCTCCTGAGAGATACTGGTCTGTAGAACAATGAAAAATACAAAGGTTTTAATGAAAAGCAAAGAACCTAAATATATACAAAGAAAAATCCAAAACTTCCAAACCACAATTTGATATGCACTTTGAACTTTGATAACTGAAACAACATGAAAATCAGTAAACACAGAACTAAACTAGAAGAATCATGTTAATGGTCAAATGCTATTACCTCATCTTCTGAAGTGGAATCTTCTACAATTTCCACATCCTCAAATTGATGTGGCATCTCTTGGACTTCCAACTGGTGATCATCAAAATCACTAAGTGTTGCTGGTTCTGTACGATCAGACAAACCACAGACTTCTTCAGTTTCAAAGAAGAATGGTTGAGATTCTGCTGGCCTATCAAATGTTTTGTAAAGAAAAGTGTCTTTGAAAAAACATCCTCTAATTCTATTCCACTTGTCTTAGTGAATGGTTTGTTTACCAACACGAGTATAAAATCAAGAAAGAAAAAACATTTTACTCATGAGATTATTTCCGTTAATTGTACAAAACTTCTGTCCTCTTTTTACTGCCAAAGATTTAATGCTGATCTTAAAATAAAACTGTGACACTACTTAGCTCATTATTCTGAAATCTTTATTTTTCCCCTGTGCTCAACAGTATGGTTATAATTGTATATTCTTCTAAAATGGAGTTTTTAAAATATAGAGCAAATAACTGAAAAATTTAACTATTCTATCCCCATTTGAGGACAAAAGAAACAGTACAGGTATTGAAATTTTTGATACTCAAACATTCTTATGCTGTATCTCTTTTTGGGATGTCACAAGTGCCTTGATGTTACAAGTGCCTTGAAGTCCCACATTATACACAAGATTCTTTATCATTGGTGTTAACCTCCTCTGTTCTCCTGTTTGTAATTTCAACTGTTTTACCAGTCTTGCATATAGTAAATTTTGCTAACCTTGTTGTATTTAATCTCTTTCATAGATAGTTTTTACTCAAATTTTGAAAGCAAAGATAGATGGTTCATTTAGGTCTTAGAGCAGTATAATCTCTTATTGTGTCCACATTTTTTTCATGAGATGTGAAATCATTAACAGGGGCAATGTGTATCTCATGTTTGATAGTGTAACCTCTACAATACAGGCTTTAAAGTTTTTTCTGAACACTGGTAGATCTTGATACACACATTCTGTTAGATTCGTGTGATGCCACTTCCTATCCCCCCTTATGAATAGAATACTTCACCATATCTTTTCTAATTCTTTTGCTGGAAGTATAAAGCATTTTTATATATTTAAGTCCTAAAATAGGATTAGAATAGATTCTTTTGGATAAATATTTACTGTTTTAATTTCTGAACAACAATCTTCTGTAGAGCTGAAGGTTGGAAATGTTGAGATGAAACAACTTTGCATTGATGAAATAACAACCATCATAACAATAGTCTCCCTAATATCCAGTACATGCTAATAATTTAATGAATTATTTAGATAAAAATGTTTAGTTACGTAAATTCAGGTATGTTATTTTGTGTTTGATATATAGCTGACATTGACAAGAATCTACCTTAGGACCTCTTTAATTTCTTATTTATCTTACTATAATGAATGTAGTGTGTATGTCAGTATCTATGTATTCAACCAAAACTCTTGCACCATCTACTGAATGGCACCACAAACAAAAATCCACAAAAACTTCACACTTTGGGTATTCAAGATTCAGACAGTTAGAAAAATAACTGTGGTATGTGCAACAACCATTTCTTTATAATAGAACACAACTTGAAATAAAAGTATTTTCCTCACAACAAGAACACGACTTTCACTAGGACTGTACGCGAGTGTTTGATTATATCTTTATTGATGTAATTTTTAAACGTAACACTGAGAAACTGAAGTTCTTAAATAAATTATCATTTTTTCAATAAAGGGTAGCACTTTTAATATATGAAAACATTACAGTTTATATCAGTAAGATTTATGAAAATTTTGAGCTCAGTAGATTGAATCATTTTGATGAATGAGTTGCATAATATTAAAGAAAACAATCCAAACACTTTCCCATACAGTACTTCCCAGAAAAAAAATCCTTTTTCAGAAAATGTTCACTTCTAAATTTTTTTCAAGGAGGTATGAATACTATGATTAGTAGCTATTAGTTCAAACAGTCGCCCATAGGGCAGCATTTCTGCTAGTATAAATAACTGAGTAAATGCTAGTCATTTAGCATTAGACTGTGTGTTGATGATACTAACTTATTTATAATTAATAATAATTAAATGTATTTACAACCAATAGTTAATAGGAGAATATTTAATACAGATAAACTAATGCTAGCAAAAAAATTACAATTAATTCTAATAAAACCACTTACATGACTCTGAGAAATAAAATATACATACAAGTTGCCTGGAGATAAAAAATGTAAAATATTTATATTAAATAAATTACCTGGGAGTTATTACTGATGATAGATTAAGTTTGAAACATCATGTAAAGATTAGTGCTAAGTTTCTAAAAACTGCTAATAATATGTCAAAATCTAGGTATATTAAATCTGAAATTTTACAGATAGTTTTAGTTTAATGTGCACTCGTATATAATCTATTATACCAATACTCAGTTTTATCTGTCCCAAAAATGTGTGCACACCTTACAATCTAAAGTGCATACACAAAAACTTTTTTTTGTCAAGACAAGTAAACAAGATTATGATTTTAATAAAAAGTAATACATAAAATGGAATGTTCAGATTGTCATAAATGTTATATATAAGACAGAATGTTGAGATTGTCATAAATGTTATATATAAGACAATGTTCAGATTGTTATAAATGTTATATATAAGACAGAATGTTGAGATTGTCATAAATGTTATATATAAGACAATGTTCAGATTGTTATAAATGTTATATATAAGACAGAATGTTGAGATTGTCATAAATGTTATATATAAGACAATGTTCAGATTGTCATAAATGTTATATTGGTGAAAATGTGCACAAATTAGATGCCAAGTTAATAGTACATTATCACTTTATGTATTTGATATTTTCGTGAAAGTTTGTGTGTAAAAAAAAACAAGCAAACATAAAATTAAGAAAATTATCCTAATTAAAGAATTAAAACCATTATTAAATAAAATGGCAGGAATTAATTTATATGTATTTTAATATTTTAAATCATCATGACCATATTATCTTGGTGTATTTAGTGTGCTGTATCATCAATGCTTTTATCACCTGTTTATGCCATGTTTAATTCATTGATATTTTATGTTCTTTCTTTCTTTGAACCTCATTTCTTGGTGCTTTTAATTCTCTCATTCAATAAGACATGTTAACAAAGTTTTTTTCAAACCTTCCGTCTTGCAACGAGTAGAGAAATGTAACTGATGACAAGCTTAGTCAGGAATAAACAACATTTTAAATATGTATCATAATGACATGGCCAGGCTGTTAGGGCACTTGACTCGCAATCTGTGGGTCGTGGGTTCAAATCCCCATCCCACCAAACATGCTTGTCCTTTCAGCTGTGGGGGCATTATAATGTGACAGTTAATCCCACTATTCGTTGGTAAAATAGTAGCCCAAGAGTTGGCGGTGGGTGGTGATGACTAGCTGCCTTCCGTCTAGTCTTACACTGCTAAATTAGGGACAGCTACTACAGATAGCCCTCGTGTCGCTTTGCGCGAAATACAAACAATTTTTTAGGTGTTAAAATGTTGTTTTTCTTGATATCCTTGTTGATTTTAAAGTCATTTTTATGGCCATCCTAAAAAATTGAAACACGCAGTGTTTGTGGATGAAGATACACTAAAGTAACATTCAGTGGTTTCCAATACTAGCTGAAAGACAATAGGAAGAACAAGGGTAGTAGAGAGACCTAACTGAAAAGAAGTAGATGAGGGGGCTGGGAGCAAAGTAGAGAGAACCCAAAGAAGCCACCTAAAATAATTAAACAGTATAGAGAGTTTAATTACAAACCCTTCTTGAATTGAAGGCCATCCTTAACAAAATACAAATCATTGGAGAAATAATAAGGACCCTAAGATCTCGTAGAAATACAAGAAAGCATGAGCAAATATATTTTAAGGACAAAGTCCTTCCAAACAGATTTAAGAAAGTCAGAAATACAAAAAAAAAACTATCCCAACCAGAAAAATGGTACTTTTAAAACTTAAGTCAGGAACACTTGGACTAAACCAACACAAATTTATTTCAAGAAAAAGGGTACTTTGAAAACAGACTTAATCAAAAATACAAGAGGGCTAAGCCAACACAGATTTCAAGCAAAAGAGAAGGGATGAAAAGTAAGACTATGAAAAATACTTACCTGAAAGGACTTTCTACTTCAGAAATAGGGGGACCACTGACAGGAACCCTGTAAATAATTTAAAACAATTAGATGAAAATAAAAACAAATATGAAGCTCAATCTATCATTCAATTTACCATTTGTCACTGAAATTTGTAGAATTCCATCCATCATTAGTAACCCTGGATAAGGGCAAACTGAGGAAACAAGACTAGGCTACATATAATTATATAAAGATTTATTAGAACAAGAGAAATAGACAAAGCTGGAACAAGTTTACAGAGTGAGTTCAGTTTGTTATGGACTTCGCGCAAAGCTACACCAGGGCTATCTGCGCAAGCCATCCCTAATTTAGCAGTGAAAGACTACAGAGAAGGCAGCTAGTCATCACCACCCACAACCAACTCTTGGGCTACTCTCTTTTACCAAAACATAGTGGGATTGACTGTCACATTATAATGCCCCCACGGCTGAAAAGGCGAGCATGTTTGGTGTGACGGGGATTCGAACTCACGACCCGCAGATTGCGAGTCGAGCACCCTAACCACCTGGCCATGCCAGACCGAGTGAGTTCAGTACTCTTGTTCAACACCTACAAGCTTCCTTAGCACAAAATGCCAAGAATACACAAAAGACTTGCGATTTACATAGCCACATCCATAGGAAGAGAAACAAGCTTCCCAATAAATGAAGTAAAGCCACAAGTATCAACAAGAGGGAAAGAAATATTGACAAGAATTCATGCAAAGTAAGAGAAAAATGATCCGAAACAAGCACACAAGGAAAACTCAAAGGAAATATTTGACAATGTGATTTTGTTTTATACATTCTATAATCTCACCCGTACAGGTCCATTTATGCTGATCTTGTCATTTAACATTTGTGGCATAACAAAATGAAAAATTATAAATTATGCAACTACTGTGAGGTTCAAACAAATACACAACTGTATCACAGAAAGGTCAGACGTGTGTAACTACTGAATTATTTATCACAACGTATACATTGCCATTACTATTACTTATCTACCAAAATATGTACTGGAATTAAAAAATAAAATACTGTAGTTTACAGACAACTTCAGAAATAAGGAAAGGGATACAATTATCAAAGACTTTAAAACTCTCGAGATGTATTTTTAAATTGGCGATCTATAAAAAGTTCTATAAACTGAAAACATAATTTACGCATGGTTGTCCTGAGATGAGGAAGGTATTTCGGCAAGTGGATCAAGGCAGGACATGATAGAAATGTTACCCATATCTTGATGGCCCAAATTTTTTATTAAAGTTAAAAATTCAGCTTCTGATATGTCTGGTGTCAGATGGTCCAGAAGAATCTGGATAGCTGGATCACTAGAACCAGCCAAGTCTTCCTTGGCAGTGAATTGGATCTGAAATTATATAATCAACAGAATTAATCATTAACAAGTTTCATATAACACATATGACCAAACTGACAAGTTTTATACAAGATGTTTATATATATATATCACCAAACTAACATGTTCTATACAGGATGTTTATACACATCACCAAACTGACAAGATCTATACTGGATGTTTATACATATCAAATTGATAAATTCTATAAATGAGGTTTATACATATCATCAAATTGATGAGATCTATTTATAAGATGTTTATGCATATCACCACACTGAAAAGTTCTATACAGGATTTTTTTTCTCCAAGTCTATTTGTTTCAAGCGACACGTTTTATTAGGGTCGTGTAACCAGCAGTAATGACACACACAAGAAATTTGGTATATTAGCAATTTACAAAAAAAAATTAGTTAAAACATTAAAAAGAAACTGATCTAAAACCAACTTGAAAATGGAAACAATTTAATACCATTGATGAATGTATCAGCTAATGTTAAAATATCAGATAACTAGCTCTTCAGATAAGTAATTAGTTTGTTACAGGTTTTAACCCTTTCCAGATGGGTCACGGGTGAAAGGCCATGTTATTGCATTTGTTGAATCACATTCAAAATTTTATTGAACTACTATTTCATGAATTTATGTC